GCAATGCTGAGTGTCTGTGAAGATGGGTGGCAATTGGAACTCTCTCTTTGCTGCCTAGGCTAAGCGGGGAGAGGGGCGGGGAGAACGAGCTCTTGGCCATGGTGGTTCGCCATGGGATGAGCAGAAAGTCAGCATACCCTGGGCCGGCAGAACCCAGTACTTATTTGTAATTACTCTCTGTATCCTCCAAAGATTCTGCTTTACATGAGACAGCGCGGACTAAGAGAAGGAGAGCAAGAGTGAGGTGGGGCTCTTCATGGCTTAGGCACTTGCCTAAGCAGCCTTTCATTTAGAGAAATGAAGGGGAAACATCCTGTTCTTCCTTGATTACCATGTGGAGCATTGCATTATTTCCATTTTCCTTTGAAAAACATTGAGAGCAGAATAGATGGATTTTGGCCTAAAATTGACCTCTTGCTGCTTCCAGAATAACTAAGGCTTCTGAGCCCATGGTAGGGAATCGCGGAACCAGGAGGACTTCAGACTCCCCTGGAGCAATGGTGAAGGAAAGCACAAGCATGTTCAGTAATATTAGGCAGGGTCTCCCCAGGGGCTTTTTAAATTTGTATTTTTGAGACAGGGTCTTGGTGACTCACCCAGGCTGTGTGCAGTGATGCAGTCATGGCTCACTGCAGCCTCGACCCCCCCAGGCTCAAGCAATCCCCCCACCTTAACCTCCTGAGTAGCTGGGAGCACAGGTGCGAGCCACCAGACCCGGCTAGGTTTTGTATTTTTTGTAGATATGGGCTTTCGCCATGTTGCCCAGGCTGGTCTTAAACGCCTGTGCTCAAGCAACCTGCCCCACGTTGGACTTCCAAAGTGCTGGGATTACACGCGTGAACCATCACACTCAGCCCCAAGGGGCTTTTGTAGTTGGGTCTGGCTCACAGTTCTCAGCATTTGAGATGAAATGAACCCAGTAAACAGAAGTTCTGAAAGCTGAATTGGCTGGGTTCCCTAGAAGCGATTTAGGACGTAGTTACCAAGCCTCCAGGTCGCCTGCTTGCAAAGTCAGAAAGCCAGGCTGCTTTTTTCCAGTGTGTGTGAAGGGCTGGTCCTATAGAGAACGCCTACTCAGTGTCAGGAGGCCAACCGCAGATGACAGAGCCACGTGAGTGCACATGGAGAGGACGTAAGGCTTTGGACATTCTGCCAAATCCAATAAACGCCCTTCCCCACTCCAGGGAGGTTTTGGTCTGGGGAAAAGTCCTGGGACACCTCGAACATTTGCACTCCTCCGCCCTTCTCCAGGCACAAGGAAGGCCATCAAGATACAGGCTGTACTTGTCAGGACTTGGGCTGGGGCCGGCCAGGCACCCAGGAGTCAGCCTGCGCCTGAGGTTGGGGGAGGAAAAGCACCATCAAGTGCGCCCAGAGACTTTGCTGCAAGGTCTTTTATCCCTCTGCGAGGGGGCTGACTACAGGGCAGTTGAAGGAAAGGTCAGTTTCTTCTGCAGCTTCCCTTTCTTCTCAATGCTTTTCTTGCCTAGCTCCGCCGTTGAGCAGAGCTGAGCAGTGCTAGCCTGTGGGGAAAACCAGACAGAAGCTAGAAATCTCCTGCCCAGATACTGGGAAGGAACTTTCTCAGACCAGTTTCAACCAGTCAGGTCCTTTCAAAGTCCCAGGTTATGAGCTTAAGGATCCCCGCCTCGTGGTCCGGTTGGAAGGGCTGATTTCTCTCAACGACCTGACTGATGCTTTTCTAGCCTGACTCCACATCTCCAGAAAGTTGCAGTTCACCTCTTCCCTTTCCGGTGCCAGCAGTACTCTGAGAGAGACCGGGGCGTCATACTACAGATCAGGAAGCAGAAAGGGAGCGGCTGGATCCGTGTTTGAATCCCAGCTTTGCACACTCATGAGTTGCATGGTCCTGGGAAAATGCCTCGTCTGTTCTCAATGTTAGTTTTTACACCTGCACTTTAGTTATGAAAGATTTTACACTGTCAGGTCCCCTGATGGGTTGGCAGTTAGTTGGGTAATCTGCTCCATTTTTTTTTTTTTTTTCCGAGACAGAGTCTTGCTCTGTTACCCAGGCTGGAGTGCAGTGGCACAATCTCGGCTCACTGCAACCTGCGCCTCCTGGGTTCAAGGGAGTCTCCTGCCTCAGCCTCCAGAGTAGCTGGGATTATAGGCACCTGCCACCACACCCAGCTGATTTTTGTATTTTCGGTAGAGATGGAGTTTTACCACATTGGCCAAGCGGGTGTTGAACTCCTGACCTTGTGATCTGCCCTCCTCTGCCTCCCAAAGTGCTGGGATACAGGCGTGAGCTGCCACGCCCACCCCATCTGCTCTGATTTTGGAGAACAAGATTGGACGACTTCCTTACAACCAACCTCAGGAAGCAGAGCGCGGAATCCGTCTGAACACCTCATACTCAAGTCAATGCTCCTGTATTGCACACTGGTCCTGGCTCCTGCCTGAGTTAAGAAGCCATGATATTGGGCTGGTGTGGTGGCTCACACCTTTAATCCCAGCACTTTGGGAAGTCGAGGCTGGTGGATCACTTGAGGTCAGGGGTTTGAGACCAGCCAGCTCAACACTTTGAAAGCCCGTCTCTACTAAAAATACAAAAAAATTAGTTGGGCATGGTGGCGCATGCCCGTAGTCCCAGCTACTTGGGAGGCTGAGGCAGGAGAATAGCTTGAACCTGGGTGGAGGTTGCAGTGAGTCAAGATCACACCACTGCGCTTCAGCCTGGGTGACAAATCCAGACTGCATCTCAGAGAAAAACAAAAAGCAAACATAAAAAACCCGCCACGACTGACGTCTAGACTATTAAGTCACTGTCCCTTCAGCGTGTGGCCGCTGGCATTGCCTGCTTAAACCCTAAACTGTGAGGGTTGGCGTGGCTTGTGAAATACACTGCAGTATGCAGCAATCGGGTGTTTTTTGGAGGGAGCGTAAGGAACTGCTACTCCCATCAACTCTGTGTGACAGAATTGCTTCTGTCCTCAGGGCGGGTCTGTGGATTCACTGTCCTCAAACAGTTTGCTGCACCAGGAAGAAATGATATCTCGATGGCACCCATGTGATTCTGTCACTCATCCCAGTAACATTTCTGGGGACAGAGGTCTCTAAGCCTAAATTGTGGACCCTCCCCATGGGTGTCCTGGGACTTGGAGAGTGAGGTTGACACCTGTGTCCCCCACAGAGACACTGCCCACTGACTCTGAGTCCACACCCAGGGGGCTGCAATGTCAATACATTATGCTGTTGGTGTGTGATAATTTAGTATTCTTGTTTCTCGTGTGGGTTTTCAGCAGAAATAATTGTACACGCTTCGGTCCTCTCTGAATGCTGCTGGAGAGACTTGTGTCTTTTCTGCCTTACTGTCAAAGTTAGAGCAGCATCTCCACCAGGCAGGAGTGGCCATGAACTTAGGAACTGCAAGAAAAGGGTCGAGGGTTTTAGCCTTTTTTGAGCTTTGGATTTTTTTGACATCTGCTGAAAGTGTATCTGCTTTTTCCTTTCACCCGGTTTTCTCTTGTATTTTCTTTTTTTCATGTTAATTTCATTGCATTTGTATTATTTGTGAACTGTTGCAATGTCCTGTTTTTTTTTGGTGAGAGGTGGTTTGAAGTGGGCACGGGCAGGTGGTCTGACACACAGGGCCTCTGTGGACACCCGCACACCCGCACACCCGCAGGGACCAGCTGAAGCACAGTGCCCTCGGAGGCTCGCCTCGCCGACCAGGGTGATCTCCGGTTTTTCTTCTTTGCTGGAATTTGGGGGATTGATGTTGAGGCAGAGTTCTGAGCAGGCAGCTCGCCCCTGCCTAGCATTCAGTGCAGACGTTCAGAGCGGGCCTGCCAGGCACGTTCCCGGCGAAGTGAGATCCTGAAACCCAGCTACCCTTCTCTTTTCTTGGCAGCGAACGACCAGGGTCTCCATGCAGACTCGAGGCCTCTGCCTCCAGTGGGAACCCTGGAGTGGATGTGAGGACCCTGGGCAGTGCTGCCCCACAGACACTGCAGGTTTGGAGTGGGCGTGTGTGGGCCAGCGCTCCACCTCTGTGGTGAAAGCAGCATGTTCGGTGCGTGGGATCTGAGGGTGACACTGACCGTGACTCATGAAAGCCACTGAGTACAGAGCCATGAATGCGACTTGGCAGCCAGAAGCACTGTGGCCTTAAACCACACGATGAGCGTCAAGGGGCTTGTCATTCGGGGGTCTGGTTGGATTCTTGCCTCCTCTTTGGAACCACAGTCTGGCCACATTTTCATACTTACTAATGGAGAGGTGCAGCAACCTGACCCTGAAGACACTGGGTGCCAACTGCCTGGGTTCAAACCCAGCGCTAACTCTTACTTGTCGTGTGACCTTGGAAAACATTCTTCATCTGCCAAATGGGAGAAATTGTAGATTTTACTGTGCAGAGTAAGTTACCTAATAGATGTAAACCACTTACACATGTGACTGGAGCATGGCTAGCCCTTGTTTCTATGCCCAGAATATATCATTGCTTGGGCCTGTGAACTTGTATCAATCAATTGAATTTGTTTGTTTTTTTGAGACACAGTCTCGCTCTGTCATGCAGGCCAGAGCACAGTGGCATGATCTTGGCTCACTGCAACCTCCGCCACCCGAGTTCAAGTGATTCACCTGCCTTAGCCTCCCCGAGTAGCTGGTATTACAGGCGCCCACCACCACACCCGGCTGATTGTCGTATTATTAGTAAAGACAGGGTCTCACCATGTTGGCCAGGCTGGCCACGAACTCCTGACCTCAAGTGATCCGCCCCCCTCACCCTCCCAAAGTGCTGGGATCACAGGTGTGAGCCATCAAGCCAGACCTGAATTTGAATTTGAAAGTGGAATGAGTAACTGCAGATGGGAGGGCAGGAAAAATAACAGGGGATGCATTTCACCGCCGCGCTCCCTTTACAAAACGCTTCTGGAATTTTGCCAGTCAATTGTCAGAATCTGGTTCTCATTTGCGGCCCACGGCTCACGTGGGAGCTCTCAGATCCTTACACAGATTAGGAGTTCAGCCCTTTGAAACATTCACGTATCTTTTTATTTAGACCATGGATCTTTGGCTTGCGGGGGTTGAAACTTTGTCATATTTCTACAGCAAGACAAAATATTGTGGCAGAATGCAATCCATGTATATCCCGGTGGACACCCGAGGAAGCACACGGCGTTCTGGCTAGTGCAGGTGCGAACTTTGACTCCATCGTTCCCAAACATACCTCTTCCTCAAGCCGGGAGAGACCACAGAAAAGAACAATCAATCTTCGGGGCTGGGGAGAGATCCTAGGCTGCCATCACCTGGTGGGCGGCTTGTTATTTGTGATTTACTTCACCTCTTATCACATCCCAGCAAGGCACATAAAGCTCAGGCTAGCCAGGGGTGTGGGAGGGGAAACAGGAGTTTGGGTGGCTGCATGGTGATGTGTGCACAGACATTCATTCCCCTCCCTGGTGCCTTGTCAGGTCTTCGGGCTGCAGGAGCGCAGAGCAGGGCAGGAGCTGGGGTCCGCTTACTGAGCCCTAACCTGCTGGCCCATCTGATACTGGTGTCCTGTTGCTGCGCTTCTACTTAGGGGGTTTTTTTAAGCATATCAATCTCTGGGAATCTGCCCATGTTCAGACCCACGCCCACTATCTTACCTGAAGGCAATAAGATTGCCAGGAGGAGGAGCAACGCAGAAACACAGAGGTTCATGGCCAAGGAGCGCACAGGGCTGGAACTTCCAGCAGCGGCTGTCTGAGGCTCCTTTATAGAGCTGGGCTGGGCTGAGCTGGGTGGGGCTGGTGGCTGGCCTCACTCTTCCTGGAGGAGCAGACTGAGATTGCAGGCTTCTGCAGAATTCCAGGAAGAGGAATTCTGGGCTGTTCAGTGCTGCCTTTTCTACAAACTGCAGGAAAAGAAGAGACTCAGCTAAGGCTGCCACGTTTCCTGGCAGCAGAATAGGACAAAAGACCAGGACCCCCATACCTAGGCCTGAACACTTTCCCTCTCCCTCCAAATGTACCTTGATATAAACATGACAGTGAAAACGTCTGCTCTGCCTTTTCTTTCCTCTGGAGAACCACTGAGCGCTCAGGAGTGCAGAGCCGGGATGTTATGAAACACAGCCTTAATTTAAGCCTGAAACACAGCTCAAAGACACAGAGGGTCCCAAGGTGTCAAACACGGACCTGACCAAGAGAAGGGAGGGGCTCAGAACTAGTGGAAAAGGGACAGCTTCCTTGTCTGGCAGCTGACTTATTTACCTGGCTGGAGGCAGATTCTGGAAAAAAAAAAAAAGTTCCTGAAAAAGTTCACTGATGGACTGTTTTCCAGATGGCTGGTATGAAATGTTGGCTAGGATCAGGGGGCTTGGAAGGTTCTAGGAGAGATTTCTTATTTGGAGTTGAGGAGTTGGAACTCTCCCTCAGTCTCTACAAGAAGAGTTGGCTCACTGCCGTGTTCAAGGTTGGATGCACAGTGTCCAGAGTGGGGCCAGACAGGGCTTCTCTGGAGCGACAGCTCAGCCCCCGGGAAGGGCCCTCAGACCTGTCTCTCGTGGGGTAATAATGGATGTCTGAGAGTGAAGATGACACTAACTTTGGTTTTGTTTTGACCCTTAAGGCAGGTTTGTACGCAGGCAGCCCATGACCGCAGGGCTCTGAGTGCACGGCGTGGCAGTGCAGCATGCGTTACTGGCCATGCCCTGCTGCGGGCGCACACCCTCAGATGAATTATTTAGCATCGCAGCCTCAAGATCTGCTTCTCAAAAAGTGCACTGCAACGTTTCGTGTGTTTTTTTGAGGATGAAATGAGATATAGCTTATAAAATACTTTGCACTCACACTGCCATAGAGTAGGTATTCAATATTATTATGATTGTTAATTTCTTTTTTTTGAGACAGGGTTTTGCTCATCACCCAGGCTGGAGTGCAGTGGCCCAATCTCGGCTCACTGCAACCTCTGCCTCTTGGGTTTCAGCAATTCTTCTGTCTCAGCCTCCTGAGTACCTGTGACTGTAGGTGCTCACCAATACGCCAGGCTAATTTTTGTATTTTTAGTAGAGACAGGATTTTGCCATGTTGGCCAGGCTGGTCTTGAACTCCTGACCTCAGGTGATCCACCTATCTCGGCCTCCAAAAGTGCTGGGATTACAGGCATGAGCCACCTACCCAGCCAATACAGTCAGCACAGATTTTCTTAATTTTCTGGTTCTTGCTTACAAATCTCTCCTGACTCCCAAGTTGTAAAACTATTTCCTCTATTATCTTTCTTTTTTCTTTATTATTTTTCTTTCTCATTTAACTCTGTAACCACCTGTGATGATTTCTGTGTATGGTATAAATTAGGTGTCCTATTCAGTTTTTTTCCTTTATGAAAAACCAATTGTTTCAAGACCAAAAATTATTGAAAAGATTGTTGTTTTTCCACTGTCTTACTGTGCCACCTTTGTTTTAAATCAGACTCCACATATGTGTGAATCTAATGCTGGCAAACTTTATCAGTTCTGTTGTTCTCTTTGTCTATACTTGCACTAATGCTATGCTGTCTTACTGCCACAGCTTTATAATAAATCTCACAAGCTTTTAAGTAAGATCCATCTATCCATCCATCCATCCATCCATCCATCCATTTATGAATCTGTCTCCAACAGAGCCACATCTTCCCACTTAACTGTTTTTGGTGTGTGTGTGAGTGTCTTCACTATTTTTGGTTCTTTGCATTTCCATACAAATTTTAGAATCAGCTGGTCAAGTTCCCCCCAACAATAGTTCATTATGCTGTTAGTCTTGCTTCTTTCCTTTTGTGATGTACAGCCTCCTGAATGCCTGTGGGCTGTTGTATTTGTGGATTGAATACATCTTGTATTCACGTTGTAATGAACACTTTATAGAAAATAAAGTTGTGAAAGATTCTGCTTCCTAGAGAATAGTGAATATCCTAAGCACCTGTCTCCCCATCTCATGAATCCCAGAAGATACCAGTTGGGGCACAGAGCTCCTGTATCTTAACTTCCCTGGTTAGTCTCTGGGGATCAGGGAACCTGGAAGTGGGGAGGGATAGTGTCCACGGCTCTGACCAAGAGCTCCAAGTTTCATAACAGCATAGTAACACAAGGCAGATGGTTTAAAGATGCCTCACTGCATCTTCCTAGACAATCCTCCTCCCAAAGGATCTTTGTCCTCACACCCAGTCCATTCCTTGAGAATTCTTGAAGATGCCAGCTTTACTGAAGGTCTGGGATACATTCTCATGGCCCTGCTTAACATGCGCTTATCCCTTTAGGTGGAATCACTTATGTCAAAAGGAAGATCAGAGTCAGTACAAGGAGGTAGCTTCTCATGTCTCCGTATGATTTTCAGACGGAGGTGGGGACACCTCTCCCATTGATCTGGGGGTGACTGGGGCTGTAGCATAGCTTTACTTTGCTGTATAGAATTGATGGGAGAGCTGTGGGAAGTTACAGTGAGAGTAAAAATGATTTCCTATATTGCTTCCCACTACTTAAAAACTGGGGCATTTCAGCCCGCAAGAATAAAGGGCCTGAACATAACATTCCTCTGGTTCTTCTGACTACTGGCAAAGCTGGACTTAAATTCTGGCTCTTCCAGGCCTGCTTCAGGTATCTCCATTCATTCACCATGTTCCTCTAACTGTATGTTGGGACAGGACTTAGAGTGAGGGCTAAAGCTCCGAGAGCTAACTTCAGACCAAAACCCAAGCCCACACCTGAGCAGGAAGAGTCTGTCTGGTTTCACAGACCAGCTACTTAGACACGAGATTAATAAAGAAATTACTTTCTGCACCTGGGAAGATTCATAGAGGAAAATAAGATCTGATTGTCCCAAGTGATCAAGAAAGGTACGTGCCTGAAACGGACTGTGTAACCAGGTGCATCAATTTATTACCTTTAGTAGGATTTCATTGTGTTTGGGACCTTAGGACATTCTGTGAGGAGAGATGGCTTGGAACTGGTTCTTGGCTACACATAGGAAAGACTTCAGTGCTTGCTTTCAAGATTGAATGCCCTTGTGCCACTGGACTAGTGCCCAGAAGTCCTCAGGGCTAGTTTCACTCTTCATTAGCTCCTGCCAGATTGTCTACAGAATCTGATTCTTTCCTTTGGGCATTTTAGTATCTTCCCCTTCCTCAAATTTCTTAGCATAACTGTAACAAAGCAAGACCGTCCCTATCTCCACGGATTCCTGAGAATGACTGAGGGGCTTGGAGAAAGGCAGTTCTGTGATGTTGATAATGAATCTGGCATGTGATAAATGTTCAGCCTTACCTACACACCTGTGAGCAGACCCTCAGTTCACCCCTGCCTACTGACTCATATCTGCAATGGGTGAGACACAGACCCAATGTGGGAAAACTTTAAAGGCCAGGATCGCTATGGATGTGGGGAGAAAGCCAGACAGGGTACGGATTTAGAGAGCTCCAGAGAGTGGGAGAGGGGAAGGAGACTGTTGAGTTCAGTGTGGCAGTCTACTCCATGGTGGACCCTGTGCTGAGGTCTAGGGATGTGAAGAATAGACGGGTGTTTCCCCTACAGTCCCACGGAGCACGGAGAGTTATAAAGCTCTAATTTTAGTATAAAGAGGTAAGAACCATGCCACTGTAGAATTATTAATATGAAAAGTGGGTCAGGCATGGTGGCTCACGCCTGTAATCCCAGCACTTTGGGGGGTTGAGGCAGGCAGATCACGAGGTCAGGAGTTTGGGACCAGTCTGACCAATATGGTGAAACCCTGTCTCTACTAAAAATAAAAAAATTAGACAGGCACGGTGGCACACATCTGTAATCCCAGCTACTCAGGAGGCTGAGGCAGGAGAATCGCTTGAACCCAGGAGATGGAGGTTGCAATGAGCTGAGATCACACCACTGCACTCCAG